TTACAAGGGCCTTCACTAAGAACTCAGAAAGGTAGAGGAAAACTATTTTTCCTCTTCCATAATTCTATCTCTGGAGATCAAGTCCACAGCTGAACAATGAGGTTGGCTCAAGTACCAAGCAGTCTTGGCTGATGGGAGGGAAACTTCTAGGGAGAAATCAATGATATTGGCATTAAAGTGGGAAAGAGGGCACACACATGGTTGCTGGTGGGAATTTAAAGTGGTTCAACATTTTTGGAAGAAGATTTAGCAAATTTGATAGAAATGCTCAAGGTACATTCAAGACTTTTCTTCTAGGAATCACATCTGCTGAGATAAAGCACAAGCACATAAGCCCTGGTCAGAACCCAGGATGCTACTGTGGGCTCTCCTTCCACGATAGGAAAACCTGGGAACGACATGAATTTTTAGGACAAGGTAGCATCTATACTAATAAAATAAAATATGCTAATTGGACTGAACATCTTCCAGATGACCTTCCAGATGTCCTTCTGGACATCCTTTCCAATAAAGCCATGTTGGCAGGGACAAGGCAGAGGAGGTTAGAAATGATCAGGCGGGTAGGGGAGAGCAATTAGGGGGCCCAGGCGAGCAGGGGAGAGGAGTTAGGGGGATCAGGCTGGCAGGCAGGTGACTTATTAGGAGCCAGAGATCCTAAAGGGTCCCAGATTGGAGAGAGTACAGGCCGAGCTGAGGGGATGCCCTTCCCATGCATGAATTTTGTGCACTGGGCCTTTAGTGCTTATATATGAAAAAATGGATTTTGAGATAACAAAGATAAAGATAACAAGAGGCAAAGATGAATACTTTATAATGATAAAGTGGACACTACATCCTGAAAACATAACATGTCTTAATATATATGCACCCAACCAGGGAACACAGAAATGTATAAAACAACTACTCACAGAACTAAAGGGAGAAATAGATCAAAACACAATCATAGTTGTGGAACTTAATACTCCATTGGTAGCTCTAGAAAGATCATCCAAACTGAAAATCAATAAAGAAATATCGGCCTTGCCCTAGCTAATTTGTTTCAGTGAATAGAGTGTTGGCCTGTGGACTGAAAGGTCCTAGGTTTGATTCCAGTCAAGGGCACATGCTGGGATTGTGGACTCGATCCCCAGTAGTGCAGTGCAGGAGGCAGCCAATCAATGATTCTCTCTCATCATTGATGTTTCTCTCCCTCCCCCTTCTCTGAAATCTATCTATCTATCTATCTATCTATCTATCTATCTATCTATCTATCTATCCATCCATCCACCCACTAGAGGCTCGGTGCACAAATTCATGCAGGGGTAAAGTCCCTCTGCATGGCCTGTAGGGATCAGGCCAAAACATGCAGTGCAATGCTTCCTGCAGCTCTTACCTGCCAGTCCAGCTCATCCAGGCCCCACTGTGCCTGTCTCGGGCTCACACCCAATCAGTTCCAAGTACTCACCAGCCATGAGCCCTATCTGGCGCCCCATGGGAATGGCCTATGAGATTGAGCTGAAACCTGCTCTCCAATATCCCCTGAGCGGTCCTGGATTATGAGAGGGCACAGGCCAGACTGAGGGACTCCACCACTGCACCATGGGGGTTAAGGGGTGGGAGGAACCATGGGAGGACTCCAAGGCATGTCGGGCCCATCTCACTCAGTTTGGATTGACTGGACCCCAGCAGCAAGCTAACCTACAGGTCGGAGCATCTGCCCCCTGCTGGTCAGTGCACATCATAACAACTGTCCACCAGCTGACTGTCTTCCCCCTGGTGGTCAGTGCACGTCACAGTGAGCTGTTGAACAGCTTTAGCATATCATTATCATATTATTATTTGATTGGTTGGTTGGTTGTTCTGCCATTTGGTCTATTTGCCTATTACCCTTTTATTATATAAGATATATCTACCTTAAATGAAACACTAGAACAAATGGACATAATTGACATTTATAGAACCTTTCATCCCAGAGCATCAGATTATACAGTACATTCTTCTCCAGTGCACATGGAACATTCTCAAGGATAGACCATATGTTGGGTCACAAAAATAGCACCAACAAATTCAAGAAGATAAAAATTATACCAAATATAGTCTCTGACCACAATGCCTTGAAATTAGAAATCAACTGCAAAAAGGAAGTAAAGAAACTCACAAATATGTGGAGGTTAAACAACATACTATTTAAAATTGCCTGGGCCAAAGAAGAAATAAAATATGAGATAAAAGGATAAAGAGAGACATGAGAATGATAACACAACATATAAAAATCTCTGGGATGCAGTGAAAACGGTAATTAGAGGAAGTTGATATCATTACAGGGCTACCTCAAGAAACAAGAGAAATCCCAAGTAAACAACCTAACATCACATCTAAAGAAATAGAAAAAGAAGAATAAAAGCAATCCTAAATCAGCAGAAGAAAGGAAATAATAAAAATTAGAACAGAATTAAATGAAATAGAGAACAAAAAGACTATACAAAAATCTGTAAACAAAGAGCTGGTTCTTTGAAAAGATTAATATAGTTGACAAACTCCTGGGTAAACTCACTAAGGAAAAAAGGGAAAAGACCCATGTAAACAAAATCAGAAATGAGAGAAAAGTCTCCACAGACATCACAGATATACAAAGGACAGTACTAGAATATTATGGAAGACTATATGCCACCAAATTCAATAACTAGAAATAAGTTCCTAGAAATATATAAACTTCCTAGACTAAATTATGAGGAATTGAAAAATCTAAATAGACTGATCAGCAGTGAGGAAATTGAAACAACCATCAAAAACCTCCCCACCCCCCAAAAAACTCCAAGACCAGATGGCTTCACCAGTGAATTCTATCAAACATTCATAGAATATTTAAAACCTAACTTTCCCAAACTCTTCCAAAGAATTGAAGAGGCACTACATCCTATCACATTTTATGAGGCCCATATAACCCTGATGCCAAAAGTTGGCAAAGAAAACTACAGACCAATATCACTGATTAATACAGATGCAAAAATCCTAAACAAAACAAAACAAAAAAACCTGAGAGCTTTTCCTCTAAGATCAGGAATAAGACACAAATGTCTGCTCTTACTATTCCTATTCAACAAGAAAAGAAAACTACATACAGACCAATATCACTGATTAATACAGATGCAAAAATCCTAAACAAAATACTAGTAAATCAATTACAACAGTACATCAAAAAAATAATACATAATGATCAAGTGGGGTTCATTCCACAGGTACAAGGATGGTTTAGCATATACAAATCAATCAATGTAACATACCACATTAACAAAAGAAAGGATAAAAATCATATGATCTTATCAATCAGTCTAGAAAAAGCATTTGATAAGATACAACATCAATTTATGATTAAAACACTCAATAAACAGAAGAAAAGTATCTAAACATAATAAAGGCCATCTATGAATAAACCCTCAGCTAATATCATACTCAGTGGTAAAAAACTGAGAGCTTTGCTGAAACCGGTTTGGCTCAGTGGATAGAGTGTCGGTCTGGGGACTGAAAGGTCCCAGGTTCGATTCTGGTCAAGGGCATGTACATTGGTTGTGGGACATCTCCAGCAGGGGGTGTGCAGAGAGAATCAATGATTCTCTCTCATCAATGTTTCTAGCTATCTATCCCTCTCCCTTCCTCTCTGTGAAAAATCAATAAAATATATTAAAAACAAGTAAAAAACAAAACAAAACAAAAAAACCTGAGAGCTTTTTCTCTAAGATCAGGAATAAGACACAAATGTCTGCTCTTACTATTCCTATTCAACATAGTTCTGGAAGCCTTAGCCAGAGCACTAAGGCAAGAGAAAGAAATAAAAGGCATACAAATAGGAAAGGAAGAAGTAAAACTGTCACTTTTTGAAGATGACAGAATTCTGTATATAGAAAACCCTAAAGACTTCACCAAAAACTATTAGAAACAATAAACAAATACAGTCAAGTTGCAGAATTTAAAATCAAAGGCAAAGATCCAGTGCCTTCCTGTATACTAACAACAAAACTTCAAAAAAGGAAGTGAGAAAGTACAATTCCTTTTGCAATTGCAACCAAAAGAACAAGATACTTAGGAATAAATTTAACAAAATGTGAAAGACCTACATATTGCAAATTATAAAGCATTCTTAAAAGAGATTGAAAAAACACAACAAAATGGAAAAATATCCTGTGTTCATGAATTGGAAGAATCAACATAGTTAAAATGGCCATGTTACCCAAAGCAATAGACAGATTTAATGCAATCTCTATCAAAATCCCAATGTCATTAAAAAAAAAGAAATTGAGTAAGAAATCATCATATTTGCATGAAACCACAAAAGACCCCAAACAGCCAAAGCAATCCTGAGAAAAAATAATGAAGCTGGAGATATCATGCTACCTGTCTTCAAATTATACTACAGGGCTACAATAATCAAAACAGCATGGTATTGGCAGAGAAACACACACACACACACACACACACACACACACACACACACATCAATGGGAAAGAATAGAGAGCCCAGCTATATGGTGGCCAGCTATGACACCTCATGTAAATGGACAGGTAATTTTCAACAAAGAAGCCAGAAACACACAATGAAGTAAAAATAGTCTCTTCAATAAATGGTGCTGGCAAGCCACATGCAAAAGAATGAAACTGGATTACAGTTTGTCCCCCTGTACAAAGATTAATTCAAAATTGATCAAAGACCTATAAGACCCAAAACAATAAGTTATATGGAAGAAAATATTGGAACCAAACTTCTGAGCCTTGGTCATAGAGAACACTTTATGAACTTGACCCCAAAGGCAAGGGAAGTAAAGGCAAAAACAAATGAATGGGAAGAGATGAAATTCTGAGATTTGCAGGTTGGGGGAGAGATTGTAATGCAGTCAGGTATGTCACAGGGGTGGTTAGGGAGTGGGAAACCAGTAACTGAGTAGGAAAGAGAATTAAGTTTGGGGTTCAGAGGTACATTATAGGTCTGATAACACATAAGCTAGACTTGGGGCTGGTTCTCTTACCATATATTTTGAGCTCCATGGTTCTTGATCCTCCTGAGAAGTTGATGGCAGAGCAGCAGGAGGACTGAGTGTGGGATCATACATTCTGACTTATATAGACAACAGAAGGGCAGGGATGCCAGAAAGAGAGGCACATGAATAGTCATAGTTGCATGAGATAAACCATATCAGCATTTTAACAAAATGTTGTTGAACCAGTTCCAACTGACTTCCATTTTCACAGATATCTACAAGCCTCAGGGTGATTACTATTTTAGGAGTCTTTCCAAGTTGTGTTTCTTTGTCATAGGGAAACTCAGTTAGCAAAGACTCATTGGCACCTCACCCACACTTCTCACATGTAATCCATCTCCAGTCCTGCACTGTCTATAATTCTACAATTATATATTAATTGCATAACTTAATATATAATTAATAAATTATATATTATATATTATATATTATATATAACTTAATATATAATCTGTATAATTAAATTGTCTAAATAGAAATCCATGGAAGCTACTGTCCAGCTAGAATTAGGTGCAGCTAACCTTAACCTTGGTGGGACACTCTAATTCTCCTGGGACAGGAGAGCCTGGGAGGCTGAGGAAGAGCTGCCACAATGCTGTTTTCATTGCTTCTCTGTCCTTCACGGAAGCTGTCCCAAGAGCGTTTCTCCTTGCTGCCTCCCAGCGATGATAGGTCTGAGGCTTCTTCCCGCCTGTGGGTTGAGCTGCAGGCTCTACAACTGATAGCTTGAGCCAGTCACAAGACAACAGCCCCTTTTAGATTCAGACAGTTTATTACTGACATAAAGAAAGAAAGTAAGGCTAGCCCCAGGTGCCAACTGACCCTATTTCTTGCAAAGGGTGACAGTCCAAGGGTCAGGTGACTGCAGCCAGGATAACAGAACCCTGTTTGCTGAGGAGAGAATGCGATGCTGAATCAAAGCAACTTGTAGCCTGAAGCTCAACTCCACAGTACTTAGATGTAAATATTTAACTCCATATTGACTATGGAAAACTGAAGTAAGAACAATAGTGTGTGAGAGTGGAAACACATTGCCTTTTCCTTTCACAAAGAAACGCGAGCACAGTAGTGTAATCTATCCATCATGTTTCTAAAAATGGACTCAATTTGGAGCATAAGGAACATGCCTGGTATGGCGGGATCTCTGTTTTCTGCATCCAGCATGGAAAGAGAAGGATCCAGTTCTTTGAGTAGAGAGGCTGGGGAGTGAGAAATAAAAGAAAGAGGCTTCTTGGCAAAGCCTGTTCCCAGGGTGTGGCTTTGCCAACACAACTGGTTTTGGCTGACATTAATTAAAGAATGCCCATGTACCTTCCCACGTGCTCTTTACACCTGGAGTCCCCTGGTATCTATAAACAAGTAAACTTGTTTATAGATACCAGAGGAAGGGTTGTTACTTCACTGAGCTTGAAGAAGACACTGAGCCTGGGCCGTCATTGGACAAAATCCCACCTGTAAGTGCTGGAGTCAGACCACTGATGTCATGGGAGGGAATTGTGAGCATATTATTTAAAACTATGAAGGAGCCACAGCTAGAAACTGGTAACAACACTGAACTCGGGCATGAGTGTGGGATGGAGGTCAAAAAGGAGACAGAAAATTATTTTTCATTAAAAACAAAACAAAACATGTTCTGGAAGTTTTATTGTATACTTGCATGTCTCTGAAAATTTTAAAAGAATCCAGATTGGGTCAGTAACCAGGAAAATCACCACCTGGCATGATTAGTAGGATAACAGAAGTGAGCAGTGAAAGATGAGACAGAGGGCCAAAAACCAGGACTACAGACTTTATTAGAGGAGAAGGACCCTGCCGAACTGCCTTGCAAAGGAAGAGAGCACATGTGCAGGAGTGAATACGCCATTTGAGGGGAGGAATGGGAAGGGATGGGGCTTAGGGTATTTGGCAGATGCTGATTGGTAGTTCAATGTACAGTCCATATAAGATGCCTCATTAAATGCTCAGGCATGTCTAGGCCGCAGGTGCAGTTTATGTCATATTCTGTCTATCAGATGGGGGAAGGAAGGATTCATCATTCCAGGCTTTTGGTAATATTTTTTAAAAATTGAGAGTCTGGGAGAAAAAACCAAAATGGTGGCCTAGGTAAGCTCCTGTAGTGCTGCCTTGCACAACAATTTCAAAACAACAACTGAAAGACAGAACAGACATCATCCAAAACCACAGGAAAGCTGGCAGAGTGGGAAATCTACAACTAGAAAGAAGGAGAGAGGCTTATGGATCAGGGGAGCTGCAAAGCACTGAGGTAGGGAGATGTGCTCAGAGAGGAAGAGTGATCGAGTGCCTGGCTGGCGAGAGGGGAAAGGAAGCCTCCGACTTCACTGAAGCTCAGTTCTGATTGCACTGAACCCCAACCCTGGCTGAAACCCCGTAGACCCAGGCTCATAAGGGTAGAATCTGGACTGTAGAGAAAGGCACCCGGAGACTCAGAGTCTATGAGACTCGGGGGAGTCAGGAGCCGCAGTGGGCAGGGTCTAGAGTCGCGAGTGAGTGAATGCACAAAGAGAGATTGCTGCAGACTCTCCATAGCAGAAGGAGTAGAAAATTTCTGACTGCACTGAATCCCAGTTCCAGGAGAGCCCCTGGGGCACCCACACTCTTTCAAGGGGATTCTGGATTGTTAGGCAGAAACTCAGGGGATCCATGGAAGGCAGAGGTCTGAGGCGTGTGTACAAGGGCAGGACTGACAGGAAGCCAAGACTGTTGGTTCAGCCCTGAGACTCCACCCCATCCAGGCTGAGCTCAGAGGCTTTTTCAATTTTGCAAGTCTGTTCCTATTAGACTGTCTTCAACACAGAAGGTATCCTGGCATAGACACAGCTAATACTCACATCCAATTGGCCTGGAGGTCAATTCCTCCCAGTGATACCAACAACAATCAAGCCTTAACTACAACAAGGCTGTACATGCAGTAAACAAAGGGAAGCACTAAGAGTGTCCACCTCATGTAACTGGGCAGGCTGATCCACTGGCCCAAATAAGACACCAAACACACAAAGCTGCCCTACCAACTCAGGGAAGCAACGAAAATGAGAAGACAAGGAAACAGATCTCAAATGAAAGAAATGGAAGAAAACAAAAGACTGGATATAGAGTTCAAAACCACAGTTATAAGGTTTGTCAAGAATTTCCTAGAAAAGGCCAATAAATTTAATGAGACTCTCAAGGATATGAAAAAGGACTAACTAGAAATTAAACATATACTGACTGAAATAAAAGATATTATACAGAGACCCAACAGCAGACTAGAGGAACTCAAGAATCAAGTCAAAGATTTGGAATACAAAGAGGTCCCAGGTTTGATTCTGGTCAAGGACATGTACCTTGGTTGCAGGAACATTCCCAGTATGGGATATGCAAGAGGCAGCTGATCGATGATTCTCTCTCATCGATGTTTCTAACTCTCTATGCACGAATCCATGCACTGGGCCTCTAGTAGGGATATAAGATGTAAAAAAAGAGAAAAATGTCCAGTTTTTCAGCAAATTTTAGCGGATATGTATAGAATTACCAGAACTTGCTGAGTTAACACAAGTTTCTTGCTTCCTGCCTCTCCAAATGGCAAGATTCTCAAATTAAAAAACAGATTCTTGGCTAAGGTCAAATCCAGGATGAGGCTGTTAGGTTCTCTTTGAGACCTCAGAAATATCCAAAGCAATGCCACCACATAGAGCACATGTGTCAAACACAAGGCCCGCGGGCCAAATCCGTCCTGCCAGGCCTTGCAATGTGGCCCGCTCCGCGCTGTCATCACTGCACTCCACTGCGTTTCCATCACAGTGACAGTTTATGACTGTTCAGTAAACTATTAGGCCCGCGATTTAGGCTGGATTTTAGATTTTGGCCCCTTCTCTGATTGAGTTCAACACCCCTAACATAGAGTCTTTGATCAAAACAGTATGCTCTCTATATCTCAAGGTCAGTCTCTCAGATCCTGCCAAGTAAACTAAAGGTAATTGTATCACAAGGGGCTCCAGGTACAAATGCACTTATCAAAGAAATATGCAGTGTGGGCTTTATTTAATGGGTGACCCCCACCCATCAAATTTATAGAATAGTCACAGCTTTAAGAGGAATTTACTAACAGAGTATTGTCAGCTTGGACTAAAAGTGACAGAGATTAAAAGATACCTATAGACCACCAACATGTACCAATTGGAATCTTCTCTCTTAAAGGGCCAGTGCACAAACTTACTCAAACTCAACCCCTCTGACCTCCAGCAGGTGGCTTTGGGGGACCCAGACACATATGTGGAGGATTTGGATTTTCTAGAACTAAGGCAGGAACTTGGGGTTGGCTTTCTCCTAGATGGGGGTGCTCACAGGAGTCATTGTTCCTGTGCTAGAACCTCCTCTAGTGCAGGCCTGAATGGCTGCCATATATGAGTCTCTACCAGTCTTGCTCACATTTTGTGCTCCACCTGGGGATTCCCTGGGACCTAGTCTTACCCAATTTGCAGTTCCATACAAGTTATTTGCAGCAGCTTTTCCATTTGAATGACCTGTCCTGGCTCAGACTTCAGACTGTGCTAAAATCTCTCAAACAAGCTGCAGCTGGTGACAGTGTGCCCCAAACCTATAAATAAAAGACCTAAGACTTGGCATTAACACCAGCCTGCTTTGCTTCAGAGCTGGGCCACACCTTGGCACCTCTAAGCTCAAAACAAGTAGCAGCCATCTACAGATATCTCTGCAGCTCCTGCTGGGTGGCCCCAGGCAGTGGTGACTTTGTCCATCCCTGGAGGCTCTAGAACTTCAGACCATACCAGTTTACAACTGTACATATCCACAAATAACACATTCAAGAGGCAGACTCAGTGAGTGCCAAAGCTCCACTGAAGCAAGTCCTGCTCTTATAGGGGTATTTCCTGTATATCACCTCTCCCACTATAGTTGGAGCCAGTCCTCACAGCCAATTGTCCTGAAGGTCAGTTGTCCCAGTGACACCAACAGCAATCAATGCTCACCTACAACAAGACTGTGCACACAACCCACACATAGGAACAC